CATCATAACTTGTTTCAACGCATTCACCAACGACTATGGGAAAATGGAAGTTTTAAAAAGAATACTGCTGATAATGGGCGGCCTATGGAAGCTGCAAATGCCCAAGTAGAAGAGGCTGTCCTCAACGAAATTGAAGAAAATCCGATCACAAGTACCAGAAAAATTGCTCACAACTTAAACATACCTCACTCGACGGTTTGGAGAATTTTGAAAAGACAACTTTTGTATCCCTACCATATCCAAAGAGTACAAGCCTTATTGCCAAGAGATTTTCCGCCAAGATTGGCTTTTTGTAGATGGATGCAAGACAAAATAGCTCAAAATCCTCAGTTTGGAGCCGAAGTTATGTTTACCGATGAAGCATCTTTCTCGAGAGATGGTATTTTCAATTTTCACAATAACCACATATGGGCTGAAGAAAATCCACATGAAATTGCAGAAGGCAATCATCAGCAACAATTTTCCGTGAATGTTTGGGCTGGCATCGTCGGTGATCATTTGATAGGCCCACATTTTTTACCGAACAGATTAAACGGTGCAGATTATCGACAATTTCTAGAAGAAGTACTGCCGGAACTGCTGGAAGATGTACCGCTTCAAGTAAGACAAAACATGTACTTTATGCATGATGGAGCTCCGGCCCACTTTAGTTTGGTTGCTCGCCAATACTTGGACGACGAATACCAAGACCGTTGGATCGGTCGAGGAGGTCCCCACCCTTGGCCCCCGCGATCTCCCGAACTTAATTGTTTAGATTTTTTCTTTTGGGGCCATCTCAAAACCCTAGTCTACGCTACTCCAGTTGAAAATGTTGATCAATTAAGAGAACGCATTGTTGCATCTTGCGACATAATTCGGAACACTCCGGAAATTTTCTTGCGTGTTAGACAGTCAATGCGTCGAAGAATTGCTGCGTGCATTGAAGCTAACGGAGGACATTTCCAACATTTAATTTAACTGTGTACGATTTTTTTTTTTTTAAATTTTGCAACTATGAAGTTAACGTTTGGTTTTGTTACTTGTTCTAACGATTAAATAAATTTTGTTTAATTAGTAAAAAAATTTTATTTCAAAAAATTGACCATGTTTTTCAACATAAAAGTAGATTTTTCTCGAAAACGGTCAACTTTAGAGCTTATGACCAAGAGTACTTTTTTTGTGTAGAAAACATTGGCGGTTCAAATGGGCGTCTCAAAACCGTACTTTTTCCAGTGGCGTAGAAGTTGGGGAGAAAAACACCCACTTCCCCTTCAAAATCTTCACCAATTATGACTTTGAAAAAAATTTTTTCTCGCACAGAACATAGCTTATTATGAGTAGTAAATGCTTACAAAAGCTGTTTTCTGTACGATAAACGGTTCCGGAGATATTCGCAAAAAACGAATTTTTTTTTACAATTTCAACATCCTGTATCTCGAAAATTGTGCATTTTAGAGGGTAAGTTAATACAAACTTTTTTTCAAATTTTTGGACGAGCTATCACATCCTGAAGTCCTGCGCATATATTATGAAACACCCTGTATAACTCGGTAAAATTAACAGTTATTCGAAGAATAGGACGAATATTAAATTAAAACACAAGTTTCTGTTTCACCGGAGACTTCAATTTAATCAATCAGCGATGGCATTATCTCGAACGTTTGTCATTGTTCACTGTAACAAATTATTAATATTGGTGACGCTAAGATTTAGGGATTTTTAGTTGGCTAGTCTCGTAATTATTTATGAAGGCTCTGTACCACATCCCGTACAACTTTGCGATACATCAGCAGAAATAAGGCCTTTTCTATCTTTTCCTCCTCTGTCATTCCACCGGTGGATACTAAAATAGTTGCGTGGAGCCTCGAAGGACATTACGAGTGTAAGACGCAGGGGTTGTTGAACACATAACGTTCGGACGAGATCGATGACTTGCCGCTAAGCGAGAGAGCAGTTATGGATTAGTTTTTTGAGAGAGCGATTCGATCCGGAAAAGGAAGTTTTCTTTGGAGCCGGTTTGTCTTCTTGAGGCTCTGGCAGGCCGTCCCTAAGAGAACAACAGCCGTTCATTTCCGACGAGTTTTTAAAGCAAATTTAAAAACGTATCCATCAGATTTTCATACCGTTTTAAAGTAAGTGTTAAATACAGAAGTCTCGCTAGATTCTACGCCCGCTCCAATTTTATGCTCATTGTTAATTATAAAATTAAATTAATATTATGTTATTGTTTCTGTTCATTCTAAACGGGTAAACAGTCTATGGAATCATAAATACATTAAATTTTTTTCGAATAAATCGATCTCTAAAAAAAAAGGACGCACTCGGGAAATATCTACTTCTCTCCTTCGTGACACACCTGGAACAGATAATAATTGATGTCTAAAAAAAAAACGACGGAATCGGGAGACCCGGAGAAATGACATGTTAACCCGGAGCCCGAAGATGTACCATGACAACCCGGAGATATGGCAACCCTATCTGTGAGATGAGGTATAGTATACTTAAATAAAAAATATACGAAGAACGTATAACCAAAGAAGAAGAACTAAGAGAGAGAATAACGGAAGCTTGCAGACTTACACACCAATTAGTTAAAAGCTTAGAATACAAAATACCTCAAAGGTTAAAAGTGTTATAAAAAATATTCAAAAGTGATGCAATAAATGTGTTGAGTGAAATGGGGGTTTGGGAAATGAAACAAAAATTTTAGATTGAGCAAATTTTCGTGTTTTCGTGGCATGTCATTATTTGTAATTTTTGGTTATTCGTACTTATAGGTACTCCGCATTTTTACTCTGGACGTACGTTTAAAGCAACTTTTTTTCAACTTTGGTCAGGTCTTTTATTGACGCCATGGTGTAGTTTACTAGTTTCGGCACATTTATTTCCAGTGAATTATAGATCCGTATACATATTTGCGTTGCCTTCTAGTTGGAAAGTCGAAAATTGAGATGTAAATATTTAAAGGAAAGTATGTCAAGTACGGGCTTAAGATAAACTGTAAGATATGGGGAGCGGAAAAGAGATGATATATTGGACGGGTAGAACTCGTGAGTACGAAGGTAGTGTGTGTATTTTCCGTCAAGTGTAGCATCTGTTGAACCCCAAACGATATTCGTATATACCTATGTACATGTATCTACGGGGTGACCGTTTTCTACCCTTGTGTCTGGCAACCTTTTTCAAAGTTGCCGACCTTTTACCGTATTTTTTTTTTGGTTTCTATTAATTAGAATGTAACGTTTTTAAATTATCCAAAAATTAACAGACACAGGACATGGGCGTACATTAAGGTGTTCCATCGTGTAATAAAATGCGAAACAATCGAACAGTATAGTCATTTGGTCGTCCGTTCAGAATACAAATGAGTGACATAGAATTACGGCAATTTTTTACTCATCGATTACAATTTTTGTATGCCACCAGTGTCGCATTTTATGACAAGAAAAAAAGAATATTATCCCGGCGGTGGCGGGGCAAAACCCATTTCCGTAGTATGCATACGCGTAATCTTCCGAGGCGGCGAGCTCGTCTACTGGGTATTTTCACATCCTCGCCGCTACTTAAACTGCTAACCAACAGAGGAAGCCATGGGGTTCGAACGGAACGCAAATTAATCGGGAAGTCGGCGCGGCTCGGTTGCGGTGCCCTGAGGGACAACAAATGTTACACTATAATTACCGTATAACGTGGCGGCCCCCAGAGAAGGCTTCAGTGAAATTTTCAGCTACACCGCTGCTGCTTCGGTAGAAGCTGTTGATGCTGATTGTGATACGGCACTGCGGCGGCGATCAAGATTGGTTGATTTATTATTTATTACTCGTCATGCGTTCCCACCGGTCCCCCGTCCCGATACAATATGGAAATGTGCTTGACGTGCGCAGGTTTTGTGTTCATTTAAAAATCTTATGGCTGTGCTGTGCAACAGATTTAAGCAATATCTACACAAGAGACACGTTGAAAATACCTACATACCTACGTGTAAACACTGTCTGGGCTCTACTATACTCTTTATAATATTATAATAATTATGTATTTCCATACTTGCCTTGTTGAAACGTTATATGTACTTACTACAATTTGTTACCTTGAAGCCAAGCTGTGTTGGTTGTAGAAGGTAGGTCAAACGTTAATAAACCTTCGAATTGATAATGATACAGATACTTGAAATTTTCATTCTCGGGACCTGTACTTTTAAAAACTTAGCCATCCATATACGTAATTATAAAATTTATTTTTTAAAAGCATATGATAATAAACTTGGTCGCGTTAGGACTGCATGTTAGACGAAAGTAAAAGACGATCGGGATGTCTGAATTTATTTAATGAATAAGCAACGGTCGGCGAACGAATTCCGCGAAATCGCAATTAGGATGGAAACTCTGAAAATATGTAATTTACGTAGGTGATTGAAAAAATATGAGTGAAATACATATGTACTATCCCAGAAATATGTAATACGGATCCTGGATGTTTAATATTCCATCTTTCCTTTTAGAACGGACCTGTTATGTAGTTCATTTTTAAATTTATACATTGAAACACAAAGACGTCCCTAAAAAAAGGTGTGTAAAATTAAATAAGTAGAGATGTTTTTTTACAGAGATTGTCTTATATAAGTACATATTTTCTTAATTTTTACTGACTTCGTTAATATAACCCTACTATGCCAAGTTTTTCATTGTACTTATTTTAAGAAAGCTGTTTAATTAATTGGTTTTAATAATATTCTCTGTTATTTATCTTTTTAGAAATTTATATTTTACTCTATAGAGAACTTACGTCGTGTACTGCATTAATAAATCTGTGTTAGAAAATATATTCTTTCTAAAAATATTACAAAATAATAATAACTAGATTCCTTATATTATATCATATCTTTTTAAAAATACTATGTACTTTCATGCTTATATGGATAATGTAATTTTACATTACATATTGTGGCGTCAAAATAATCAATGATCCAGTGTGTAATTTTACATAAAATTTTTATCAGTATCAATTTATTTTCGTCCTTTCAGCTGAGAGCGATATCTGTTCGTTCGCCCTGCTGAAGAACCATTATGCGGCGAAGCAACAGCCCGACGTCGGCCTGTTTAGGCCCGAAACTCGACCCGCCGCCCTCGAGGCACTCTACAACGCCGCCACCAAGACGCCGGTGCACCTCATGCGCCAGCTGGACCGCTGGCGTCGCGATGGCCACCGCACCTCGCGGTTCTTCCTCTGCACGCCCGTACTGGGTGCCAAGAGAAGGAAGATCCGCAGCAACGTGGATATCGACATTGAAACCAGGATGGTGAGTGAAACTCTTTCTGATATACCTACTGTAGACCGTTTTGGATACACCCACCATCGAATAAATAAATTATAGAGAAAGCCTCATCAATCAATCATACTTTTAGGTTAGATATGTGCTTTTAGTACACAACCAGCCAGTTCTAAACGTATTTTGTCATAATTCTGAAAATGGATAACCACATATGTTGGGTTAAGCAAGATAGGAACCGAATGTTTAATTTATTCAAGCAAAATACTTATTCTATAAAATCAATCGATATATTTTTTTTTATTAAAAAAAAGTTGGATGAAAAGAGCGAAACAGTGGTAGGATTTAAATACTATTGCGTAAATATTAATTTACATTGGTCCCGATTTATGCTATAAATAAGATATATCGAAAGACTTTTATGATATCCCAATAATATGTCTACCATCCTCATTGAAAAGGGCAATTTAGGACCGGACTATTACTTTAGTATCCGCTATGGAACTAAGTGAAACAATTTGCTTGTGACATTTATTTTCACGTGAAACGGTCTTCGCTTTTAATTTACACAGCGTTACTGTGTTTCTTTGTTTAGGCGCCGAATAAAAACTAGCTACTACCTACGTGATTTAAATTTAAATTACCTTTTAATTTAGAAAATTTGCAGTCTAGATTAACTCCCAAACACTTTTTGTCTTCGTGGGCATTGTTTAAAATATGAATATAATAGCCAATGAACTTGACATAAAACTACAAAAAAAAAAAGACTAAAAGCCGATAGCTATTTACCAGGACAAAGAATATGTAAACTGTAAATCGACTGAAATAGGTAAATGTGTAAATTGTAACGGAATGCTGAACTGGTGCTGAGAAATTTTTAAGGACGTTAAAAAACTCACTATAATTGTAGGCATGTTTTCGACCCGGAATCGATGTCAATGTCCTTCGGAAGCGTTTATTTCAGTTCTGGTTGCACACCTAATTTTAGTGATGTGTGCTTTCCTAGACAACAACGCGGATTGCTCTAAAGTAAGATCGCGCTTACCACAAGAGGAAGCCCCGATCTTCGTCGCCGTTTTTCGTAGTTTATTACACCTTATTCTTTTAAAGTGCGTCTATATTTATGCAAATTCGGATTAGGCGTAACGGTAATCAGTACATCACATAGACAATCTATGGCAATAAATTAAATGTCTGACAAACAAAAAGTAAAGTGCATAATACACTTTCATTAGAGTATTTTTTACGGTATTTTTTATTGAACACGTCCATGTTCCTTTTAGTCGCAACAATTAGCCCCAAAGGAATACATCAACATATAATTACACATTTGATTTCTTATTTTCTTTACAGCCTGCCGCCGTAGAGGAGTTAAGGAGGTGGACATCGGACGAGGCTTTGGGCGACGTCACCGTAACTCCGGATTGCGCAAGCCGCATCGCGCCGACCATGGCCATCGCAGCCGTCACGGATGGAGACACTACCGACGGGACTATCGTATCCGACGACGAAGGCATCGACCACAAGCTACCGTCCCCTGAGGAACAACTGCAAGTCGTCGCTCTCCGGTAAACGAACTCTTCACGGAACAACGGAAAATGATACTTGAATGTTTCCTACCCTTTCAATAAAACCCTTATAACAAATTTCTTAGGGAATTATGTTTTATCTATTTCGTTATATTATACTGTGCGATGGAAAAAAATAGTGACCTTAATAAAAAAAAGGCGACCTTTTGATTAGTACCTACTGGAGTTAAGACCACTAACTCTATTACTATCTAAGCACAAGACTTTATTTAATTATTATATTTGCCACCTGAAATTTGGAAAACTCTTACAGGTTCCCTGCTGAAATTGTGGCGGTGGACGTGTCGGGGAGGAGCTTCGACCGGATGTCTATCCAGAGGCGATCTCTGATGCATGTCGATCCAGGCGACAAAACGGTAGATGGCGTCGCCAGCATGAAGCGCTCGAAGACGAGGAACCGCAGGCCGCGCAGCAGGAGAAGAAATACCCTGGCCGGGACCGATCAGAAGGAGATTCACGACGCTCTTACGGCAGGGTGAGTGTTTCTTTGAATTAAATTTAACTAATCGTACTAATCGAGTTTGATGAGTGTTGGCTATGGAAATATTTCTTAATCATAACCGCGATTTGAAATACCTGTACAAAAGAATCCTTTGCGGAATAGTAACGAAGCATGCTGGCTTACTTTCAGAAATTATATTTTGAAAATTACATTTTTGTAAATATTTCCGGTCATAACTGCATTCGTACACTAGCATTACACCGACACACACTCACTAATTAGCATTCCTTGACAGGGAGGATGAGGCGTCCTCACCAACGCTTAACCACGAGTCCGAAGCTTCAGGCGCGGGCGTCGTATGCAGGAGCAAGAGTACGGATCTCTTGCGTCCGATGACTAAAAAGGAATCGCCCGAAAGCAAAAAGTCCCACTTTAACACATTGAAGCGATGGGGAAAGAACAGATACGAGAAATTCATGAACAAAAGCACGGATTCCAAATCGGAAACCGCCAAAAGCAGGGATGAGGATATCGACGATTTTCGAATCTACGAAACCGTCGCCAGCAGAAAGAGGCGAGACATCGAAAAAGAGCGAAAGAGCCACGAACGCAACTCGTCGATCTCGTCTTCCGACAAGTCTAGTATTAACCTACCAGTGACCAATAGTCTCTCTTCCGTTATCAACGTAGCGGTAAAACTGAGGGAGAGTTCGGCGCAGCGCCGCCAAAGGAGGAACGGTAGCAAAGACGAGCCCCACTCGTCCAGCGGCAACTGGAGCGCTAGTTCGGAGAGCGGACGGGCATCTATCGGTTCCGAGATCACTTCGACCACTCACCCCAAGTCCACGACGTCGGCGACTACGTCGAGCAACTCGCTCAACCACCAGCCCAGTTCGGTAAATAGCAGGAGAAGATTCAATGCCAACACGTCGACATCCAGCAGCGTAACTAGTGAAGGAACGCTAACTCCCGACATTATCAACGATTTACACGAAGACGGCGAAACCAGCTCCATATATTCCTGCGACACGGAGGGTTACTACACCTCGTTCCATATGGACAGCGGCCTGAAAACCCTCAAGGAAGAGGATACGCCACCCACTCCGTTACATTCCAGCACGGCGTTTTCCAACTCCAGTTCAAACAACACGGTGCTGTCCGCGGAGAACGAGTACGAACTTTTCGGCAAAGGCTCCACCTCGACAACCACCAGCTCCGCCGGAACAGTCTGTACTACCCTCAGAGCATCGGGGAGCAACAAGTCTTTGCCGGTGGGCCCAGCAGTTCCAGAAAGAAAAAGTTCTTTGTCCAAACTGTCGAATAGGTCCGCCGAGAGCTCTCTAGAGAGAGACTTCAGCGATAAGACCGGCACGGTAAAACGCAGCCCCGGAAGCACGAAGCCTGCTTTAATTCACAAGAAGGGCCAGGGAGACGTGTCGCCCGACAGCGGCCACAATACCTCTAGCTCTCCCATAGAATCCATAAGTAGCCCGAATGGCGTCAGGAGCGGATCGGATTTCGAATTTTCCGAATCCTCAGACATGGAAGGCCCGGAGAGGATAGAGAGGATTCGCGTCAAGACCACGATCAATTCCAGTAGAATACCGTCCATGTGCGTGATTACGCCCCCTCATAGTGACGACGAAAGCGTCCACAGCAGCGGATCCTCGCAAAAGAACTACCAGAAACGACTCGAAGAGAAAAATAATCTGAACGAGAAACTGGGGTCTGGAAATATTACCAAGGAAGAAGTGGATATGTTTCTGGGCCATAACGTTGATTTGCAAATAGCAGGTTCTTTACATCGTAAAATTATATCCACTAATGTCAACGGAACCAACAGGTTCTCTTTAGTCAACGTAAATCCTATGTCGGGCTACGCAACCGTGGAACCGATAGATCGACCTGCCAGTCCCGTCGCTGCCAAGAAAATAGGCATTAATCAAAATACAGCGACGACTGCCAAATCCGTTCGTGCGCCCAGTCCCAGCGGAGGAACGGTCACCGTCAAAGAGGAACCTCCGAGCAAGTCGCCATCCGCACAGCCCATTATAAAGTCGTCTTTGCTTCCGCTAAACCACGTGTTCGGACGCCTGAAAACCAACCTCGCAAATTTCGCTCAAAAACGGGAGAGAAGCAGATCCCCAGTTCCGAACAGAGATCAGGAGCCTATGGACGACGCCCTGCTCGATTCCGGAGAGTACGTGACTATCGCCGATGTAAGAAACAACAACGAAAAGGCCGCCGGTGAAGTGACTTACGCCAACGACGTAATCAACAAGAACCTAAACAGCGTCTTGTCGGGGAAAGTCCGAGATGCGGAATACGTGAGTTTGAACGAGCTCCCTAGCACGGAAAACGATAACGTAGCGAACGTCAATTTGGATTCCTTGGAACGAAAAAGGCAAGGCGCGCGAGTTACGCTCGACGCAGAGGGTAAGGTTGTGTACAGCTCCGACAGTCTGAGGCGTCGAAAAGGAGCTCATTCCACCTTCGAACCGGGGCCCCACGTAAAACCAACCGCCAGTCCCAGTCCGAGCCCAGTTCCGACGCACAGAATGCCGAAATCCATCAGGCCAGTGGCCAATACTCACAACCCGACGTTGGCGGCACCAGTGGAATTCAACAGACCTCTGTCGCCTCAGTCCGGCAAATACGTGATCCGCGCGTCCTGCGCCACCGCAGAGATAATCCGAATGCCTCCGTCCACAATCGTTGCCCCTAACACGCGCCCCATGTCTCCGAAATCTTTCAACAGAGGCGCGTACGTTCACATCCAAGACGCTGGAAGGCCCCTGTCCCCTACTCAGGAAAAAGGTAAGCCATCCCATTTCCCCGCCATCACGCAAATCTCCCTATCGCACGTGAAAAACCTTAAAAACTCGATGAAAGTCAAACGCAGCGACAGCTACCGCTCCGCTAACGCACCTCTCACGTTACAAATCCTAAGCCAAGAGCTCGAAAAGTTGGATATCGAGGACCGCATCGAGAAGGAAATAGCGAACGAACTCTGGCGGGAAAGGATTAATTATCCCCCGACTGTTTCCCCGCTGATGTCGCCGAAATTGTGCAGACGCCAGTGTCACATTTACAGCCAGGCGCACGCTCAAAAGATGCTGTTGGCGTCACCGAACCGCGTCATCATTCCGATGGACGAAGGGGAGGGGAAAGTGAGGGTGTTATCCGTTACAGATACTGAAATTTGGTAATAGGCCGGTAAAATTGCGACAAAAATACTACCGTAGTACTTTTCCTAATAATTGAGGTTTGGGAACCGCCCGTCTCGAATTAATGACATTTATTTACAAGTTTAGTATTTTCAACTTGTTTCTTTATAAAAAAAAACTTCCACGTTTCGGTGAACAGAAAATACCGAACAGGTACTGCCGATAATGTTAGAGAAATAATGTTTTATCTATTTTATTTTTGACTAGCTTTAAATAATAGCAGTGCAGGGGATTTAATATTTCTTAATGTTCGTCGCGTCAATTTAACAATCTCTCTCCGTTATAATAACTAATTGCAGGAAACAGTAAAGAGAAAATAAAATGTATCGGGCGCGTTAACGGAATCGCATTTTCCTGGCCTAATGATAAAGAACTGGGAAACAGGACCACGTGCCGGCGCCGCGCTGGGAAATCGATGAAACGTTCACCCCGTATCCCCCGTCGGTCGCATATTAACAGGTTATTTCTTCAGTAGTAGCAGATCTGATGATGTTAGTTGGTTGTGAACTCCTTAAATCCTTTATCCTTTTTCTTGCTTTGGTGATTGGCCATATTCACGATTAACCGCTTGGTGGAAGAACGCGTTCCGATGGCTTGATGATGAATATGGCTAATACTGATAGAGTATGTATCATGATGATGGTTTAACTGTATATTGGTTGCAAAATAGGAATTTATATGTGTATGTCTTTATTAAATTATTGTCTGCCCATATTAATTTAGTGTAACTTTGTGAGTGAGGTTTGTGATATTTTTTATATAAGACTGATTCATATTCCAGTGCAAACAACTATTTTTATCCAATGCTTATTGATTTTTAATGGGGAAGTTACGTTCCATTGGCTTCAACTTGAAAAAAATTAGGTAGCTAAATTATACTAAAAAAAATAATTAACCGAAAGTTACTTTTTCTCCAGTAAATATAAAATAAAACGTAGGTGTTTGCACTTAGATCGAATACAGCATAATAAATTTCATGTGAATAATTTTTTTCCTCTGTAGCGTGTGAATATGTGTCCTTTTTTTGAGTAATCTATTTTTGCATGAATTTTGTTATGCGTACCCTATATGTGTACATATTTTCCACAGCACCATGTATGTCCTTCTGTGCATCATTAATGTTCTTTGTTTTTGTATATACTCTACTACATGCATGCATTTTTTTTTAATTCGACACTGATATTTGCTATGAAAATAAATGTGTACTGTACATCACTTTACATAAAATAATAAACAGTTTTAATTTCCCCTTTTTGTGCTAATTTTACTAAATGCGACTCGTCAGGCCAACTATCTGGGATATAAATAACCTTCTTATCAAATGACACACACATTGGTTAACACCATTGAACGCACAATAAGTTCACCAGTAAGTTGAACAGTGAATCACCATATTAGAGGGGTCGGGTCTCATTAAGTACATATGTACATAATCTACTAAATTCTCGCAATTTAACACACCCGACATAACTACAATCCAGCGGCATCAGGTAAATCGCACATCACTAGCAGTCGATTGTATCGAAGGTAGCCTTTTGCTTATTTCTTATGATTTATACACGTCCATAAGCACGCAAAATGCCGATTGCCACCTGCACACCAGCATGGAATAGCACGCTGTCCTAAACATTTTCTCTGTATCATAGGCGAGCACGATTTCATTTTTATGTAGAAAGCGCATGAACGAGCTTCCAAGGTGAGAATACTTTTTTATCTTTATCATTTGTAGATGGTTGTTTGTTTTTTTTTTCAGGTAATTTTTATTGACAATCAATGATAACGCCGAGTTAAGTTAGATAATCGTGTATGTGTGTTTTTTTTATATAGGTACCTAATATCAGTTACTACTTACATTTCTTCATAGTAAACTCCGTAAAATATATCTGTAAACATTTTTATATACTTCAAATTCACTCTGTAAGTTACAAGTCCCATTAATTCTAGTAGGACCTGTATATTACGTGATCTTTCTGCTAGTGTAAAATTCAGAGCTGGGTAATTCCTGGTGAAAAAGTAATTAGTAATTACAATTCCCATTTTTTTTCCTGTAATTGTAATTGTATTTAAGTACTTTTTTTTATTAAAGTAATTTGGAATTGTAATTACAGCAAAATTGTTGTAGGAATTGTAATTTGTAATTATATTATTTGAACTATCGAATTACAAATTACTTCTATAAGTACAAATACTTTTTCCAATTACAATTACTTTTTCTATTAATTATAATTACTTTTAAGATCATGCGTATTGCGTAATTGCGTACAGGCTTGCAGACTTCCATTATTTCATTTGAGGAAAGCCTTGTGCCGCGTAAACAATAAAAGGTGATTTGGTGAATTAACAGAGTACATTTTATTTTATTATAATTATTATTAATTTAGAAAATGTACGAAGTAAAAATATGTTGTCTATAGCATCAAGTTTTATAAAAATATATATTATGTATCTATGTGTTACTGCTCTTATTTTGAGTTGAGAAAACTTCTGGTTCGGTTACTCAGCCTTTCACTCGTACTTGTTCGATTCGTAATTTTTTTAATAATAATTATTGCTTTCCAGTCAACCCAAAACTGCTGTATTCTATATTTTGCAAATGTACTAACAACCAAAAAAAGAGCATCGGGTTGAATTAATTACCTGACCAATAATATAAAATTGAACTGAACTAGTTTAAATTATTAAATTAGGAATAAAAATATAAAAATTCTATATCAGAAAATGAATAAGAATAATCTTTTCATTTTAGTATCAATTCTAATAAATAATAAAACACAATATTACACAACACTTTTAATTTAAATTTTTAACTTAACTTTTTCCTTTTCCTCTGTTTGGTCACTATAATTTACTTTATCATAAAAGTAATTAGAAAAGTAATTAGAAAAGTAATTGCTAAATCCATTTTTCATGTAACTGTAATTAAATTAATATAATTCCTTTTTTAAAGAATATACTTTGTAATTGTAATTAGTTCCTTTTTTTTTAAAGTAATTTGTAATTGTAACTATTTTTAAATTACAAGTAATTACCCAGCTCTGGTGTAAATAACTGTGAAAGCGGGATATTTTAATGTTTTACGTTGTACATAATTATGACAAAGCGATAGACAAATTCCGTATCTCTGATAAATTGTAATTTCTCAAAAAAAAAACGATAGAATAAACCGATTGAAGTTTTTAAACGTATCCCTTACCCGTAAAAAGAAATGCCTAAATACATATATATTTTTTTACTTAATTTCTTTAAAAATTAACATTAAAACAATAATAGCCTTATAAATTAGAAGAACGCAGTTTATTTCTAAAAAATTTTTATTTGACAAAATTGTATGGGTGAAACGTAACGTAAAATGCAGGTTCAAGTCAATTATGAATAAAATAATTCATAAAAATAAATGTATAAACAAGTTTTTAGAAATGTGAGAGGATCTGTTTGAGAGTTGTCCAAGTAAAAAATTATTATAAGGTAGTGGTCAGCAAATGTAGGTATAAATAAGGAATAGGTATAGTGTGCCCAGAAACTCTACCAACAAACTCTAAACTTAAATTTTGTGAATGTTTTTATGCCGATTTGAGCAAAATCATATACAAAAACGCTTTGACGTCAAATTTGAAAACATTAAAGTGCTCTTCTTTATTATCGCTATGACGCGCGCACCATTTTTGAAAAGAATCCATTTGAACTTTTCGTGTTTCGTTGCATATTACTAAATTAATTTCAAAAAATAAAAATTGCCTTTGGAAATCCAGGTCGAACATTATTAGAAAATTAAAGGCTGTGTAAAATTTTATCTTTTTTATTAGGCTTTGCGAAGATATTTGGAAAAAATTGAATGCAAGGCGCCATATTTAAAGGGTAAAGCTGCTTTCGGGAGCGTTTTCATACAGGGTGTCCCAGAATAACGTTTACAACGGAAAACCACAGGTTCGTGGACTCAAAATAGGCAGATTTAGACTAATTCACCTATATCCCAAATCGCTTCGTTTGGCCGCTAGATGTGACTTAATGATTTATTTAATTTTGGACCAGAAATTTAATACAGATCAATATTATTGAATTTTTTTGCCTCAGTTTTTGTTATAGTTAAAATGATTTTACTAATGTGAATTACCAAAGNGTTTAAAGAAATGCCTAAATACATATATATTTTTTTACTTAATTTCTTTAAAAATTAACATTAAAACAATAATAGCCTTATAAATTAGAAGAACGCAGTTTATTTCTAAAAAATTTTTATTTGACAAAATTGTATGGGTGAAACGTAACGTAAAATGCAGTCAAGTCAATTATGAATAAAATGACACAATTCATAAAAATAAATGTATAAACAAGTTTTTAGAAATGTGAGAGGATCTGTTTTTCGATATGGATACATACTCGTATATGATGAATTAGAGTTATTTACATCATACCTAATTTTATTGAGACAATTAGTAAAAACAATCAAATATAATAAAAAATGCTGGAGATAAAAGTAACAAAGTTGATGTTATTAATTTTAGTACAACTTATAAAAACTGTTCAAAATGACCACCGTTATTTCTACAACAAAGGTTAATTCGGTGAAGAAAGTTAAAGGACACCCTTTGCAGTTCTTGAAGGCAATTTGGATATGCCTCCACAACTTTTCTGCAGTGTTAGATGTGGAAGCATGCACTGCTGTATTCAAAATGCCCCAAAGATAATAGTCGCAAGGTGTTAAGTCTGGTGAACATACAGGCCAGTTAATAGGAGCATTATCCCTTCCACCCCATCGACGAGGAAATCTTTGGTTCAGATACTGACGGACATTTACAGTGAAATGTGGTGGAGGTCCATCATGCATGAACCACTTGTTAGTTCTGAGTAATACCGGCACACCTTCCAATAACTCGGGTAGTGTTTTGCAAAAATGTTAAATAAAATTCCCCATTCAGTTTATTGGGTAGAATAACAGGGCCAATAATAATGCTATCAGTGAGTTGTATTTGATTGTTTTTTCTAATTTCTTTAATAAAATTAGACACATTGTAAATAACTCTAATTCGTCGTATGTGTGTATATCCATATCGAAAAATCAAGTAACAGGTGATATATCTTATGGTCTTAAACACTCATCAAGAATTGTCAGGCACAATGACTTAAAGATCAAACTGAAATTACAGTCAATCTACAAAATCAGTGCCTACTAGCACCTTGTTAGGTATTGTAATACGGGTGGCAAGATAATGTAGACATTCAAAAAATATTTTTTTGTACCCAAACCGCTCATTTAATCAAAATTCTACAAGAGGCGCAAAAACTTCCATATAGTATCACTTATCAGATAAAAAATAGATTCATTATTGCCCAAAAGAGGAAAAAGTTATGAACGGATATTATCACCATACACCAATTTTGTAGGAGTTGTAGGTTTTGAAAAACACTCTGTATAACACCAAAATGTGTAGACTGAAAGCAAAAGTCCACATCCCAAAAATAATGAAAATCGATTAATATGTAGGTATACGAGTTATTTCGAGTTATGTACAAAATTCAAAAAATTTTCATCAACATTGAGGTCATCTAGTGGCCAAACTAAGCGATTTCGGATATAGGTGAATTAGCCTAGATCTGCCTATTTTGAGCCCACGAATCTGTAGTCTTCCGTTGTACACGTTATTCTGGGACACCTTGTATAAGGAGATTTTGCTCAAATTGGTATAAAAACAATCTCAGAAATTGTCGTTTGTCTGTAGAGTGCCTAAACATTTTATACATTATAGTTATTGCTTAAAAACAGTTTTTTTAACATAGGTAATGGAGCTACCCCAGATTCTTGGGATCACAATAACCTATTGAGTATTTTCATTACTGAATTATGAATTACGTGTTATGAAAACGGCATACAAAGCATTATTACGTTTTTTATTATCAAATTCATTAAATATGTAATGACTAACGACATTAAAATCAAGTTTCTGATAACTTCCAATAGGTATACTTATTATCTTATTTTCGTGATAATAAATGAGTGGTAGCTTAATAGATAGAATATTACGATCCACAAAATGTAATGTAGGGTGTTTGTAAATATGTGCGAATTATTTTCGGGGGTGGCTGCCGAGTGGTTGAAATATGCTTAGTTTCCGAGATACTGTTTAAATTTGAATTTTTTATTTATTTCTAAATAAAATACGACCGTCAAATTTCGAGTCAATATCTTTAAAACTCTTTAAAATATAAATAATTAATTAATAAAAATAAATAAAAAATTAAAATTTAAACTGCATCTCAGAAACGAAGCATATTTCGACCTACGTTTATATGAACTTTTTTTCACAAAATAACTTCGGCAACCACCCCTAAAAGATTTCGCAATTATTTACAAACACCCTGTATAACAATGAGAAAAATTAGGAGGCATAACCTCTTAACAGTTTACAATTTATACATGTCATTTTTGCAATAAAAAAAGTCTACAACTATCTAAACAGCTAAATAGAGCTCTCATGAACAAAACATTTTTCAGAACGAGTACCGTCTCCAGCCAGCAGCAGCAGCAACCGTTCACTAAACACAAATACAATACCTGGCAGTTCCGAATCGCAATCGCTTAACACAAGAGACATGTACCGCTACCAAGAACCCATTGAAACTGACATGGACAACCGTTACCTCTCCACCCAGTACTACCTACAACGAGGGAGCAACTTGTACTCCACTTTACCTTCAAAAAAGACTCAATTCTTTGCCAGTGAGTACAAAACCGAAAGGTCAGTCACTCCCGATATCACCAGAGGATTAGAGAGGAACCACAACACTCAGGGCGATTATGAACACTTAAAGATAAATTACCAGCATTCATTGCCGAGAAACTTTTACAAAACAGATCATGGCCTACTTAACCAGAAACTTGGAATACCTGTACGGGTCCCAGAAGTAGACAAGTTAAATATACAAAACGTGCCTTTAGTTTATCCTACAGGTGATGCTCCAACAAACATGAGACCTCAGAATGATTGGAGATATCGTTACAAGTCACAAGATGCAAAACCGTTTGACGACAGTGATGAATCATTCAAAATATCACCCATAGATCCTAGACATTCAAGAGGGTTTCAGTCTTCGACACCATCGTCAAAAGCTATTGACCTTAAGGCTGCTATAAACTTAGAGGACAAATTGATGTCACCAAAGAAATCTACCATGTCAAATGAAGAGCTGTATGCTGTGATTCATAAAAGTAAGAAGAGGATGAATATAGAAACTGAAAACACACCGAGATCTTCCCCCGTCACAGTTGGCACCGAGACGCCACCCAAACAAATCATAAAAAGTCCCGAAACAGGGTATTTAGGAGATAAGTCCAGATCCCGGCTTAGCTGGTCACCTAATAAAGGAGATTACGTAGACTTTAACTCGGATATCGATAAATTGTCTCCACCAAATGAATCAAGATCAAGGCAAAGTTGGGCGTGTAGTGAAAGGAAAGGTCAGAAATCCAAACAGACGTCCACGATAGACTTTAAACGGTTACTCTTGCAGAAATCTTCCAGTAGCACCCCAAGGAAACTGTCTGCAGTGGAACAACTGAAGCTGTCGAAGCAGCAAATCAAACCTCCGCAACCCAAAACGCAGCCGGAGATGAGCATTTTAGATTTGAGTGGATCCCCCAGGGGTTTAGTGAACAGAAGGATGTTAAATTCCGTACCAGGTTCACCGAGCAGAGACTTGAAGCCTGCACCCAAAATATTGTCACCGAGATCGCAATGGAGATTCGCAAGCCCAAGAAGTGACGTTCTCTCTTCTACAATACTGGAAGATTGTAGGGAAGATGAGACCTCTACCAGTTACGGAGAAAAAAAGCAACCTTCACCCAAATCAGATAATACTTTCAATTCGAATTATGTAAATAATGAAAATTTACTTGACGATATCCAAAACGATCCACGAAACATATCAATATTATCTGCTGCTCAGAGGCTGCAAGCTCAAAGAGCTCAGTTTTTCAACTCTACGCCTACTATTGAGGAAAATCGGTCTAGAATTCAAGAAAAGCCATCCTGTCCACCTACATTAGAAACTGCGTTTTAATTTTGAGGGTGATTACATAATTTATTTTTGTACATAGTGTTTTATCGATTTATTTTATTTATTCAATAATGTCTAGTCGACGAGCCGTTATATATTTTTCACTTTTATATCACATGAAATATCACGGTTGTAGTGTACAATTTTTCTGTACAAACTTGTGTTGTATATAATAATATCTGTTTTGGCGAGGCTTCCAATTAATATATGTAGCAAAGTTGCCTTAAATTATTGTAAATCTTAATATATACCGATTTTTGTAAATAAACATTTAGATTTGGCTATAAAATTATTTAGACTACCTACCAGCCATTAAGAAAGTGTAACGAAATAAAAACATCCAAACTTTTAATTATCACCAAATTACTAACCAAATTAATATATTAATTATTAAAGTTATTCTTAAAATTGAGAAAGCTTACTTGACTATATTTATCCTTTGGTTTCTGCTTGTTCCGCTATGCAAATAAAAAGAACACTACACATCACTTTCACACACTAATGCAAGAAAATTAATGTTTCCACTATTTTAATAAAATATAAATATTTTTTACACACCTTCCACAGTATTACATATTCGTTGATTGAAAATACAAAATTTCAGTTAGCAGCACCTTTAACGCCATTTTTAAACAATTGAAATGTTCATATTCAAATCGAAGTCAAAACCTACTATGTAATAATTCGTTATGCGAAAAAATACTTTATTTGAACTTTTGAAGACAATATTATTATGTATACCGATATATTTTGAATGACTAATCCTTTTTTAATAACATTTATGAAAATGTTATGAATCAAAATACCTCGTTTTGGATTTCGTATTAGTGGCGACATCTCTAGCATGTATGTAGTTAGAAAGACTAATTAAATATGCAAAATGCGAAAGTATGTCGACTGTCAAAGTAATTTGAACCATCATAGATCTAATGTAGTATAGATCTACGATTTGAACAAGATACGAATTAGTAAGGTTAAAGTGAGAAAACTAATTAGGACATAGATTTTCTTTATTTTATTTTTTAATTTCATGATGGTTAAACACATTGATAACAATAAACAAAACATACCACTCGGTTGAATATATAAAAAATAATTGTTCTTGTTTTACAAAATTACTAAATAGGTAAGCAAGAGACATTGTTGCAAAGGAAATTTTGTGTTAATATTGTTTAAGTAAAAATAGACTGCTCCATTTAAAAAATATCACGTTTGCCTTATCAAATTCAAGTAATACACTAGATATATAACAAAAACTCAAATAAAAAAGCATTTACATCTTATATTTATTTTCTAATATTAAATTACATTCATTCAACTTGATATTCAACAACTCGAATACACTTCTCTATCAAATAATCAGTTTTTTATTTGTGGGGGTCCCATTGGCGGTCGAACAGGGCCCATTGGTCCCATTGGGCCCATGGGCATCATTCCCATCATTGGAGGACGCATTCCCATCATGGGAGGCATGGGTCCGTGCGGGCCCATCATCATCGGAGGCATTGGTCCACCAGGTCCGATAGCTGAAAAAAAAATTCACATTACTAAAAATATAATTCATAACTGAATGTTTGTGCTATAATTTAATGATAGTCCCAATGTTACTTTTCAGGAAATTAATGTCCAACAGTAGCATCTCGTCGTAAATAAAGATTGATTAAAATTTCAATTTATATAATTAGGTACACTAGTTTGCAAGTTATAAGTTTTATAATTCACTGTGGCAATAAGCTTCAAATTTCAATGTGGTTGACTGCCAAGTCAGTGAGTACCTATTCATAGCTGTTGCGATAAAAGCCTCAATTCTTATACTATTGAACCGTTTCCAGTAAGGAATTATATCTCAAGATTTGTGTAGTAAATATTTAACAAACCTCCAGGTGGCATCATGCCTGGACCTCCTGGTCCGCCAGGTCTTTGGCCCATCGTAAGTTGTGCAGGTGGTGGTATAGCAACACCCCCTTTTCCAGGCTGAGCGAAAGGATTGTTTGCTATTTTGCCAGCTTTAAAAGCGGCGGTTGTGGCATCTATCAAATGTTGTGCTTGCTCTTCCATCCATTTCTGGTAATAGAACTTGACATTATCCTTGTGTTTTCTACCCGTGCAATGTGTCTTCCTCACACTAGGGGAATCATGTGTTAAATAAGTATCGCAATAGTCACAGTAGTATTTCGGCATTGTTATTGTTTATATTTTTGGCTTGCAAAGTTAGTACCTCTTTGTGTTTAGCTTCTACAACAAAACAAATTGTAGTTAACCTAATCATAATCAATTAATACTAAACCACAGATCACAGAAACAATTACTAAACTAAATATTCGAATCAGTGTAGCCACACGCTCGGAAAATGTCCCTACAATATGTTTGGAAAAATCCCAAGATTCCCCTATGAATTGATTCTAAAAACTTAAAAATGTAAAATGTAGGAAAAGCCGAAAAATACCTACGAGACATCGTAAAAATGTTTCCTCACATTTATCGTGATTGATTGAGATCTCCAGAGATTTTTTAAGATGCCAAATTAATAACTTATTTCCTTCTTCGGATGTAATCAGTAACACGGTAACCAAAGCAGTTTTTTTAAGTTTTGTTCATTTTCTTGATGACTAAACAAAATAGGAAAAAACAGATATATTTATAAATATATTTTAGATACTTATTCAAATTTATTACCACAGAAACAAACAATGTTTCGCAAAAGTGACTACACTTTTACAATCCGTAGATGATCAACTAGGGATTTTATGACGATAATGTCCAGAATAGGAAACACTTAAACTGACAGAATAATGACATTTATATACCTAACCCTATATTATTAAGTATTAATAAAAGAAGTAAACTTACAGTTTGGCATAGACAGAAAAAGTTGGATTACAACATTCATTTTATAATGAAATGGCAGTTATAGAGGAAACTTTCGAACAAGTAAGTAATTATTTAAAAGATAAGAATATTTTAATGTTTCAAAATTTATTTTCCAAAGTTTGAAGAAGATGATGCTGCGGAAACCGCATTGGCACTTTGCAGTGCTGGACGAAAGCGTCTGTTTAGTAAAGAACTTCGTTGTATGATGTATGGCTTTGGAGATGATCAAAATCCATATACAGAAAGTGTAGATATTATCGAAGATTTGGTTATAGAATTTATTACAGAAATGACCTATAAGTAAGATAACAGTTGGGATTGAATAAACTAAAGCGACTTGATGTATTACATTTCCATTTTAGGGCCATGGAAATAGGTCGAACGGGTAGAGTACAGGTAGAGGATATAGTATTTTTAGTGCGGAAAGATCCTCGGAAGTATGCGAGGGTGAAAGACTTGCTTACAATGAATGAAGAACTCAAAAGAGCTAGAAAAGCTTTTGATGAGATTAAGTTTGCAGGTAACGTTAAGTAGTGGTTTTCCGTTAATGCATGTGATTTTGTAAAAATCTTGGTTTGGTAAATTGAAAGATTTCTCGTAGGACTTAAGTTACTTTGTAAGTTTAAAAAATGGACAATAGTAATAATATAAAACAATGTGAAAATAGCTGTCAGATTTATTATTATCCATCTTATCCAAAATATTTTTAATTTTGTAAACTACACATTCAAATCGTTATGATTGATAAGATTGAATACAAATTTAATTTTATATATTTTAACCATATTATAGTAGTATCTCTATGACCTTAACTAGAATTAGAGTGAAAAATGGTAAATATTTTTATATTCTACTAAACCGTTTCACAATTAGTATTAAACTTTCTTGATAATTGAGGAATATTTATTACCAAAAGATATAATCGTGATAAATCTTTATATTTTTGTAATGTTTCATACACTAATTAAAAACTTTGTTATAAAAAAGCATTCCATTATAAATCTTTAAATTAATGCATTGTGATAAAAATGTATAGGTATATGTTTTTTAACAGTATGGCTATCATATAATATAGCTAACGATGACGAAGCTTTTTATTTTTTATTTCAGGAAAAGACGCCAGCGTTAGTTAAGTTTTAAATATTCCATCTATTACTATTACTCTTTAAAATTAATTAATTTTTTATCTGTACAACATTTGTGTAAACATTTTCTAATAAAGTTTAACATTTAATCTAGTCTTGACTTTATTATGGGTAGGAATATAGGCATCAGAATTATATTAATTTTATTATAAAGAACAAACAAAAACTATCGAACTAATGATTCAACAAGTAAATCCTATCAATGACTTGTACTTAATAAATTATTAACAGCGTTCTTGGCCGACATAATAACATCATTAACACCGACCCCAAAATAGGAAGCCCCACAAATCGAAAGTGGAAGTTTATGTTCACTTATGTAGATCTGTACCTTGTCTATTTTTTCACTGTGACCAACAACATATTGAGGAATACAGTTTTTGAGAATTTTAACCTTGGAATGCGTCGGCTTTTCAAGAATCCCCAATATATTACCAACCTGTTCCCTGGCAGTTTGTAACAAAACGTCCTCGTGTGGATTTTTGCCGAATAAGTCCGTAAACCACCACCCACCCATCATAACGGTTAACACTGTATCGTCACTTCTTGGAAAGCTGCAACTGTCGTATATAACGCCTAAAATAGGCAAGTTCTCTTTTGGGGGTATCAGGAAACCAAAGCCTGGGTTTTTTATGATGTTCCCTTTATAACATAGATTAACGACACCCACAGTAACACTTTTAATATCGCTCAATAAATTTGCTAATACCGGATGCTGACCACGTAGAATCGATCCAAGACTCTCGGAGGGTATGGAACTCACTACATGAGAAGTTTTTAAACTTTGTCCATTTCCAAAATGCAGTAGTACTCCATCATGAAGGAACTCTAACTGGTTACACCTAGAATTGAGCAAAATGTTAACTTGACGTTTCTTAATGTAGTCGGACATGGCTTTAGGCAATGTTTCCAAGCCTTTCTTGAACGAATATATTTGCCATTTTTCCTTCTTTGCTTTTAGTGACAAACCTTGCAGTTCGCTTTTATTAGATTTTGTAAAAACATTTCTTATTATTCCTTTTGATATACTTCCGTGTTCCTGTTCATATTCAAATAGCGTTTTCATGAGAAATCTAACGCTTATTTCCTTGGCATCTCCTGCGCATATGCCTGACACTAAAGGGCTTATGAGGTAATCCGCAAATTCTGTGCCAAATCTGCGATTAACGAAATTATAAATTGACTCGTCCTTTACCGTTTTCTTAACGGCAACCAAATCTTGCATTAAATACCTTATTAGTGGTTTTGAGAAAGGTGGCTGTGTTGTAAACATACTCGATATACTTGAGGGTAAAGAATGAAGCCGCCCATTGGAATATATCATCCGATTCCTTGTTGCTGGATGTCTTATGGTGATAGGTAATATTTGATCGCTTATACCCAGATCTTCGATCATAGAAAGTGTATTAATGCCATTTGGTCCCCCAGGTCTTAAAGTTCTTGCACTTTGTTCAAAGATTAATTTATCGTTTACAATGTCTGACTTTATCCATCCTCCAAGTCGATCAGAGGCTTCAACTAAGATTGTTGGTTGACTTGGCAAGTTTTTTGATAGATAATATGCAGAAGAAAGTCCTGTAATTCCTCCACCTAATATAACTCTAGACATTTTGTAATAATTTTCTTATATGCGTTGGTTTGGTACATGTAATACTATTAAGTTTAACTTTTTACCATTCAATATTTCCTTTTTTGCATCTGTACCGATACTTTTATGTTATATATGACTTTATTTAATATTCATTAATTTATTTTGTTTTGTAGTAGCTATTCGTTATTGTTAAATCCTACAATAGAGTCATTAGACAATTGGTTAAATTCAAAGTAGGAAGTACGTACAGTTAGACAAATATCTTTGGTTAAATTTGAGAATGTCATGTACAGCGTTGCCAGATGGAACCGTTTATGGAATTTGATAATTGCCCACAAAAAACTTTATTTTGATCGATAAAAACTTAACGAATTTTTTACTATAGACGTTAATGGTCGGTGCTGATGTATTTTAATTAAAAAAATTTTTTCTTTAAATATTACATTCAACTGAAAGGGTTTTTTTAACTCAATTTTTTATATACCTACAAATAATGATAACTTGTATTTTTCCTGTTAACAAACCCATAAAGTACACAAAAATATACTGTAATGCTGTCGCCAATTCGGCTTTCACATATTTTCAATTTGTTGTACGATACGATAAACCAGACAATAGGTACCTATATAATAAAGCAGAATACCTACCTACTATAGAAAAATAGAAATAAAAAACGAAATAACGGCCTACTTTTTTTCTCTCGTCTGTCTCATTGTACGATCGCTTTCTTAGACGGAAACGTGTATTTATAAAAACCATATTTATCCGTTTAAAAAAAATGGATAAAAAATATTTCATAATAAAGTTTTTACTCACTTCTGGCAACACTGGTCAGGTGCGTGTGAGTGCCACTCAAAGGTTTTCTTGCGCGCGAGTTCTGTATTACTGGTTATCTAAGCATAGTTAAACAAATTATTAGCCTTCATTCCTTCAATAAAGCCCTGGACACAAATAACAAATTTATAGTATATTTGGTTGTATAACAATTTTCTTTGGAAATCAATATACAGTAATGTGTACTATCATTATTTATTGTGTATTAAAATTCCACAACGAAAAATGCTTTAAATCGTATTAACTCCCAATATAGGTAAATTATTTTACTTACTGGGTCAAGTGAATTAATTTACCAACTGCAAAAAAGTAAAATTATTCAACGCTGATTTTATTTTAGTTTTTATATACCTACTTAAATCCTACGTAGTTCTGGTTCTGTAGAGGGCTTACATAAGTTCAGTAGTTTTGCTGTAGCAACATTTAATTAATTAGTTCAATTAATTAATTTAGTGTGAAATAAAGAGAACTCTATACAAAAGAAACTAACGTTTTCGCCAACTGTACCACTACCACTTGGTGTGCAGGGGGAAGTTTCAGTTTTTACACGAGTACCTACCTAACAGCAGTTCCTCTTTCTATTATCAGTTCACGGACATCATCTTTCAGAATGTTTCGTGTTTATCTCACCTAGCTGCTGTCATGTCGGGATCATGAGAAAGGCGCAGCTGTAACCAAATAGCATGCTCTTACTGCTCTCACCGAAACTGACGTGTATGGTATAGGTGCATACAGCGGCGGAGGCGCGGGGCTGCTACTAGTCCAAGCATTATAGAGAAATGCTTACAGAAATTATTACCTGGACAAAAAAAATATGACCGTATAGAAAATTAAATTNAATAAGCTACAAAAATAAAACAATTTTTAACATGTTATATTTCTATATATTTTTTAAATCTTTATACATTTTCTCAATCTATACTGTATCATATCTCTTAATTGTAAAAGGTTCGTTTCTACATAAGAGAATGGGTCCATAAAACATAAAATTTTTCTCTACCTCCTAACGTCTTCCTTTTTTGGCCATACTTATATAATTTTCTAAATCTTGTTTCAAAAATTTTATTCTTATTTTGTCTCCTAATTCTACAGGGTGTTTGGAAAAGTTGGTACAAAATTTAAGGGGGTGAAAGTAGAGCCAAAAATAGTAAAAAAAGTTCCTATAAACATTGGTCCTCCGGAGCACCGTTATTGAGATATGGCCCTCCGGGTCTTATCTTTTGGATATTTTTTAAAATAACTTTCTTCCTGATTAAGATAACGGAATCAAAATTGTAGGTAATAATAATTATATCATAAGTGTCTTTAACTGCCATAAGTTTCATCAAAATCGATTATAAATAAGGATAGTTTTGTAACTACTCTTTACAGAAATTTTTCGGATTTTTTTTATTCCTTTGAATTAACAAATAATATTATTTTTTAATGAATTGGACTTTTTTGAAGAAAAAATTTCCCTTCTTTTTTTCCGAATTCTGCGTAGTTTAGTCAGAAATAATTATTTTTTAAATAATGTATGGCTCAGAACAGTAACTTTTTTTAACATTTTCACATAGTAGGCGTCTTTTATAGTGACAGTTTCTTTGTAATGGTATTAATGATTGTCACTTTCGCGTGCTATGATTTAAATTCTTAGGTTTCTTTATTTTCTTAGTTGTGATCTTTGTGCTCAACTTTGCATTTCATTCGATTTTTTTACAACCATGCTTTTACTAACCGTGAATATGCCGATATGCATTTCATTTATGATTTTGTAATGGAAATAGTCTGGCGGGTCAAAGAGAGTATCGGCATCACGGTTAGTAAAAGCATGGTTGTGAAAAAACTTGGGGCGTTAAGGTAGGAATTTTTTTCCCGTTTTTCCCTAATAACATTTGAATTTAATAATACTTTTAATGATGATTTTCACAAACGTCAGTTTATACAAATCACTGGGAGTTTTGTTTTTCATGGGTTGCTATAACGTTAAATGAAATTTACGTGGCTGGGGCGCTACCTCGGGCGCTACATTATCACGAATTTCATTGAATATCTTAGAAACAAGGCCAAATATCGAAAAAAAAACAAGAGGCCAAAAATTTTTTAAATTTATGAGGCAAAGGTGGTGTACTGCTGTTTTATTGAAATTAATTGATTTTTTTAAAAGTTTTGAAATAATGTAAGAGGGGGATAGCACACAAAATACACTTCTAAGTGGGGTAAGTGGTTCAATCTTAAGGAGCTTATGTTAGATCATAAGGTGTATTTGTGTTCCGAATTTTATTTCAATCGGATGAGTATAGTAGTTCAAAAGTTATGCGGAAAATAACGGGGAAAAATTCCTATTTCAACGCCCTCTATCTCCAAAACGGTGCGATTTAGGAAATAAGTTTATATCATGAATGAACATTATTTTATTTTGTATAAATGAAATACATCATGAGCAGAGCGGTGATATGCGGTATAGCTAACTTTTTAGTAGATTTCTTATTCTGCGAAGAACTACTCGCCCTTAAAATGTCTTACTCTAATTTACTTATGAACCTGTAATTATGTATTTTTTAAATTTTAAGTTACCTACACCTACTAATAGCTATATTGTTTAACAAAATTTTACTGATCTTATTACTATGTGATATCTACTTAGTGAAATCTTAACCACACATATGTTTTTAAGAAATATTTATGAATAGTCACCTCGATAGTCACCTTCTTCGTCACTGCTTTCATGTTTGTTAGGCTGCTCAATATCTTGGTCTGTATTTGATTTTAAAATAGGTTTGTAGTATTCTTGACCTATTGTTTCAATATCAATTTTCAAATTTGAGAACATGGCCTTAGCGTACATTAATGCTTCTTTTATAATTAGTGATATTTCATCATCTGATGGTATAGTTTCCATAGTTGGTGTAGAAGAGTTCTCTAGTTTTGTATATTATACTCGCTGAACAGGCGGGTGCTCGAGTGGGCAAATTTCGTTAGCTTTATTTATGCATGTTTCCATTGGCTATTGTGAATTAAGGAGGGAAGTTAATGGATTTATGAAGATTTAAATTACGATTTAATAGATTTATAAATATTTTTTGGCGATTTATAGTGATTTATAGGGACTTAAAGGGATTTTAATAGATTTAACGCTTTAAAAGGTGATTTAAACAGGTCTTAAGTCATATAAATTGATTTAAAGACAACTTTATTGGTTTAATAAAATTTATAGAGATTTAATTTGATCTGAGCTGAGAATGTACACGGATTTAAGGGATAAAACCCCTCGGATAATACATAACGATTTTTCGTTACCTGTTCATTGTGTTTCCGTATATTATCCCAATATGCAGAATCTAACTGAGTTCTTGTGTTTATTTTACCTAATGACTTAAATGACTTACATCTTTCACACTGTATATTGTCCATGCTTTATCCCCACCGAAAAGTAAGCACGGAAAACAAAACAGTGTATTTTTTATATCACACCCGCTCTGCTTTTGTGTATACATACATTATTGTTAAATTGTCTTTAACTTTTATTTCTGCTTGTTCCACTAACTTCAATATTTAATTGTGGCATTAGCCCACCTAATTCTTTTATTTTTAGTTTATCCTCATAAGGCAGAGAACCAAATAAAGTTTTTTGTAAAAACGAAACGCTATTCATTTTAATAACTATAATATCCGTAGATGCCTAAACGAAAATATTCACACGTGCCGCTCGCAGAAATAAACCACCACATACCACGTACGAAATATTAAATATTACTGCATTTACTGCAGCAGTGGCTGTCGTTGCAGCCACAAAAGCCCATACATATAATACTGTGCACACAATTTGTATATGAGGTTGCATATATTAAGGAGCGTAGCTCGCGTCGTAATAAATAATAATATAAGCTCCTAATATTTTATAGATTATTTTAGCGCGAGTACATTTGGATTCTTTAAATATCTTGTTGATATTTAATATGACTAAATACATCAAATTTTATGTGTTCTGCAGCTCCGCAGCTCTTATGGTAAAACCGCCACTGGCCACCCATATTACAATACCTAACAAAGTGCCAGTAGGCACTGATTTTGTAGATTGACTGTAATTTCAGTTTGATCTTTAAGTCATTGTGCCTGACAATTCTTGATGAGTGTTTACTACGATAAGATATACCACATGTTACTTCATTTTTCGATATGGATACATACTCGTATATGATGAATTAGAGTTATTTACATCATACCTAATTTTATTGAGACAATTAGTAAAAACAATAAAATATAATAAAAAATGCTGGAGATAAAAGTAACAAAGTTGATGTTATTAATTTTAGTACAACTTATTATAAAAACTGTTCAAAATGACCACC